GCTAATTCATTATTCACCAATTACTCGGCTATATATAATCTTAGATGTTGGCAGTGTCATTCAAATAACCAAGCCCCAGTTCATGCCAAGTCTGTTTCTTGACGTTTGACGTAAAGTTCGCTGATAAATAGTGCGCGTTTCTTTTTATCAACAAATTCGGACCAACAGAAAATATAATGCGTGAACACACAAGTAAAATGCAATTACGTAAATAGGGCCAAAGCCAGATACGTATTTACAGTGCGTCATCAGAATACAAAGCGTGCTTTATATCAGGAATACGCGTTACTTTAGAGGTTTGTTCAATTTACGTGGTTGTAATTTATTCAATCATTCATTTGACTACGCAAAACTTGATTCAGTGCCCTGGCGTGTTTATTAATTACACACAAAATTGACTTACAAAAGGATTCTCATATATTCTGTTGTGGCTATAGAATTGTACTTTGAATCGATGGAATATACCAACTGATTTAATAGCTCTTGTTATTATATAGGATATTATTTGTATTGGTTACAATCCACATAATTCAATGAAATATCTGCCATCACTACTTTTGATGCAGTTATTATGCAACCGAAGTTACTAGCGGTGTATTGTTTATCCTGGTTTTCTGTTACCGTCAGTGGAGGTGCGGCGGATACCAACAATTTGTCTCTACTTCATTAGATATTCGTGCATATTAGCCCTTTAAAGTCCAGTGTAACTTAGGTCTCACCTGCTTTAACAACCAGGAACATTGCATTTTCTTCTATCGGTCTTGTATGATCCTCACTCTAAACATAAATCATTTCGTTAAGTCCTCTCTCTACCAGTTGTTTTCCATCGTCTCTTATCTAGTTACTTGTGGGACCGACTATCATCTACTTGATGCATAAAGCGATCTCAAAATCCGGTTAAAATATTCCCTAAGATTATAGTTTTATGTCCTATATAATCGGATTTAGGGGCATAAATTACAATATATAAAGTTTTTACAGAATTTACACACAAATCAACAAACCATAAAAATTAACCTACATTTATTACAAGACGAGGCAAATGTCGAGTTCGAAATAAAGAAGGTGTGATGGTGCGCTGTCTGGCCTGGAACATCGCACACCTGGAGAGGAGGTGCTAATGAGTATCGGGCAATGATGGAATGGATCACAGAAGTAATCGGAAAGTAGCCTGCTCAGTTACACTTCGTCGACTATGCATCTTACTTTCAGTCACCCGGGACTGAACCCGGGTCTCTGCGGTAAGAAGCCGACATCTAGCAACGTGATTTATGACAAGGCATAATAAATCAAATGGATATTAATTTGAATAATTTCGTGTTTATGTTCCGTTGTGGTTTCATTATCCTGACGTTAATTTCAAGGTTCTACACTGCCAGTGTAATTAATCTGAATTCCAAGGAGTTCTAAACTCTAGACGTTTGCCGTGAGGAATTCAAGTCACCTCTTGATGCTGTGCTGATTGCATAACATGCCAGTAATTTAGATGGGTCACAGGGAAGAATACGCTGAGCCAAGTGGTCCTTACTGATAGAAGTTCTGAGTACGTGGATCAAAGTATATAAAGTAATTTGTCCCTATCTTATTTATTTATTTTAAATTCTCTATAAAATTCTTGCGTTGATTGGAGATTATAGTTGTAATTTGCACGACCAACTGCCTTTTTTACACTTAAGCTACGCTATTTTTCTCAAAGATATTCTCATTTTATTATTTTCATTGCGTAACGTATATTTTAACTTTTACGATCCATGGAGACTACAAAAAAAAAAAAAGACCAGCTACTTACATGGGGTAGAGTCCTTTTGAGGCGGCAATGATCTTCCTCGAAGATTTGTTACCGTATATACACTATTACGCCACTGCATCTGAAAGCAGTCAAAACCCTCAAGTCATATTTCTTTAATGTTCATTTTAATATTATCCTCCCATCTACACATATATCTCCGATCGGTACCTTCCGCTCAAGTTTTACGGCTGAAATCTTATCTGTTTCATGCTTTCTACATACTCCATCTATTAATTCTTCCTCTTTGTATCACTCTAATAATATTTAGTGAAAAATAAAAATTATGACAGTGATTATGCAGTTTTCATTCATCGCCCTGATGTTCAAAACAATAAGCACCTCTGAAACTTCGGTAGAAATCTACCAGACTACACGGCGCAGCATCCAAGAAGACAGTCATCTTCATACTCGCCTCCGTGAGAACCTGAAATCTCACCACTTTTATTCAGTACATTGTTTTTTCCTTCCTCTTAGATCCAACACGTTAATTAGACCAATATTATTGCATTATTTTTACTGAAATTCAAGAAAATTGAATAAGCGCAGTTTGTGCTTGTTTGTACCCTAAAGATGGTTGATTTCCGGGTTGTAGAAGCCTGGTAAAAGTTTACCGATGTTTCGGGGGCGCTTGCTGTCTCCATCGTCACGGATAAGACAGATATTTACCTAAAATCTCATTAGTTTTTAACCAATTACCAACCTGAGCCATTGGACACGCGTTTGGTTCGCAGTAAGCGGAATTAGCGCTGCCCTGATACTGTTTGTTCTTAACATTTGCCTCTTCGAGAGAATTCAGTTACGTCTGGACCCTCAAGTCGAATAAACGCTGACGAGGGACATTTTGAAAGGGAATAGGGCAAAATGAAATGGAGGACAGAAAACAGGTAAAAGAGAGGCTGAATAAGAAATGAAAGAGACGGAAGTTTTGTCAAGTAGCTGGAAACACGGTCCTTCTAAACAGATATCAGCTGAATGGTACTCTGCATCAGTCTTCGATAAAAGCTCTTTTAGTATTGGCATTTTAGAAGTAAATGATCTGCAGTAGAAGGTAAACAGCATTTGGTATGTGGGTTGTGTATGATGTACACACAGCAGAAATCAAAGTATTAATGTTGATAATTGAAGAGATACAAAATATGTGAGAATTGCCGTAACATAATGAATAAAGCTTCAGTGACTTAAAATATGGACACAATAAAATACAATAATGTCCTTGGGGACAAATCACTGCGTTAATTTAATGATAGACAGTGATTAATTGCCGTCATAGGAAGTTATCATTTAGGTAGATATGTAAATCATCTGTGATATTACGACAGATCTACTAAGCCAGCACATGATAATACTCTGTATCCTAAATAAGGGGTTGCATATCTGACCCAGCACATGGTTGGTCTCGGAGTAAGGTTAAAGGTCGTTTAGGCCTATAATTACATCAAAATATTGCTTTCTAACGTTAATGTATTCCGTCATATTAAATTTAAATAGAACTATAGTGACATAGCCCATAATTAACAGATTGAATAACTAAATCCAGTCCTCCTTGATATAAATAATCAATCAACTGGTTAGTCATGACATTTTACCAGTCTTAAGGAATGCAAGGGTTCTTAACGTGTTCACAAGACTCAGCCAGTGGTCCGCCTCAAAGATTGATGGTATCATGCTTCCATCGAAGGACGTCCTTCACCTTCTACCCATCAGGTCTCGAGAGTAATTCTATGTACGCAATTATCAGCTGTCTTGCCTACATGCCATCATTATAATTGCCTTATTATTGTTGAGAAGTACGACCTCCACGGACCTCCTGTGTCGTAGTACATACGGTAAATAATAAAAGCTAGAAAATATGTATTTGCTTTGCCTGGCCTATGAATGAAATTACACAATTAATTATTTAGGCCTTATTACGGGAATATGTTTTCAGATCTCGATATTTTTCACGCTGTTTCTACACGTCAGCTATTGGATACCATGAGAGACACCAATGGGTCATGAGATTCACGTTTCATACAGTGAAATAATGTATTTGTAAATACACATCGAGGGTAGGGAAGATGTAGCACTTCTGTGAGAGCCAACGGAGAGTCACGTGGTTTATACGGGAACACTTGTGATTTTTTGAGGGGTGAGGGTTATCGCTCTGACACAGGACGAAATCTGTACCTTGCAAAGATCGTTTTGCGATCAACGTGTTGCGAAAATAGATAGGATTTGAGTTTCTGAGGGCGGTTAATGTAGTTCGTAGAAGTTTACCAACGTTTCACATGTCCCTGCTGCCTCCATCATCAGGACATGAGTGAATACCGCTTATCACTTTCTTAATTTGTACTTTTAAGTAATGCCAACTCTAATTTTGTTTACGAATAGGAATCTCTGGATAGATAAATCATGTTATGGGCCGAATGTCGCAATCGCCCTGATGATGGAGGCAGAAAGGATATGTGAAACGTTGGTATATTTCTACTAGACCACACGGTGCTACAACTCAGAAGACAGCCATGTAGAAAACAGATGTTAAAGTCTGTAGTTTTGTAGTGTAGCATTCGGGTATGTCATGTTGAATTCTTGGTTTTTCTGCCCGTCAGACAGTGTCTGTCAGCGAACAGAGTGTGTGAAAAGTGATGTGTAGAAAAACCAGGAATTCGGAATGGTTGTTCTTTTTAACGCACTGAAGTCAGATTAAAATGAGTAGAGGTACCTTATACATAACGCTAAATACAGATGAAAGCTCATATTTAAAAATTAATAATGCTGCAGTGCATTAATAAAATTGAATATAAATATAGTCTATACGACATTAAAATCGTCAGTTTAATAAGCACTGGAAATTCAGTGGCATGTGCAACACGAATTCTGTTTCCAGTTCCATGCAGTCCCGGACTCGCTTTGGTGTAATAATGTTAGCAGCTCTTCTGTCATAAATCTGCTTAGTTACAATTTTGAACAGTCGTACAAGCTGAAGCGGTTGGAATTATAGTCTACTTCGTTCGGACTAAGTATACCGTTGAGGAATGCTTTACCGTGGTATTGACAGCTGTATGAAAATCTGCGATTTAAAATAAAAACCTACTTAAATTGTATAAGTTTTGATATTCTCACGACCGTGAAGATGCTTATGTTGTTATTCTGGCTTGTTATATAGTGTAGACTTGTAGGTAGATACCAACGTTTCGCAGAAACATACTGTAACCATCTTCAGGGCTAAATACCCAGAAGATCAGCAGTTACTCACTTAACTTTACCCTTAGAATCATGACTTATGGAAGTAAATCCCCCCCAATATATATATATATATTTGAACGATTCGGAGGAAAATACTGCTGCCATCTTCAAGGCTAAAACTGGAGACAGTATATTTAACAGAAATTGTTTCTTCCGACAAGTCAAGCTTTTTTTAAGGATGGATCTTGAAACAGTTGCTTCATTCTGCTGGTATCTTTTTTTGCCTTATCAGCTTACCGTCAAAAACTAACATTTTATCTATGCACGCATATTAATATCCTCGTCACTAAGACAAGATAGCTGTTGGACGGCGCACTTTTACTACTGACTCTTCAATTACAGATACTATTATACTTGTGTCTTGTCTGGTTTAACAGCCACGTAATTTCATAAACAGCTTTGTGTTCACGAGCTTATTGTATGGAAATGCTAAGTTGCAGTGCCACCTATTTTAACCACATCTTGTTACACTGTGGGGAAATAAGGCAACGCTATTGTTGTTCTAACATAATCTTCGGGTACCATTAACTATAGATATTGTAGGCAATTTCCACGTGGTGGTAAGATCTGCGTCGTCACACGTAAGACAAAGGAAGCGATAGGGAATGAGGCGGGGAAGTCCCCGTCAATTGTTCCCATGGGTAGCATTCTGTCGCAAAGTTTGCTGTTCGTGTAAACGTTCTTCAGAGGTTGGCACTCAGCGTCGTGACGCCAAGCGTCAGTAATGGCGGCCATGCATCAGTAAGAACCCCTACACGCGCATTCTGCCCTCCACATCTGTTGTACGTAAATTCATAATCACATTTATTTCAGACACAGAAACTGCGCTCTAATTAAGAGCCAATTCTTGTTTCCCTCGAGTAGAAAGACAGATCAGTGTTAACCAATGAACAGCATATTGGTAACTATATGTACCACATACTTTAACCCCTTAAAACCAGAGCTCGCTGTATAATATTTAATAATTTAGGCCTTACCTCAAAGAAAACATTACACTTCACCATTACAAATATGTTTTGGAAATAATCGATGTTTACACTGAGAATCGTATAAAACATTAATAAAAACTGCAGCTGTTACATAAAATTACAAACTATTCGATGTACGCATTGAAACGACATGTATTGACAGGTTTCATGACCTATTAATTTAAACAAAACAAATATATTTATATAACGAAACGTCTGTTGTATTACTTAAACGACTTCAGTTCCTAACTTCACGAATCGCGAATTTATAACGTCTCCTATCTACAAATGTGTAACATGCTGTACAAATTAGCTTTTGCTAATTTAATGGACTCGTTCGCAGACGGTCACGAAACCGAACTGAGGCACTTTTAATAGGACCATTTTAGAGAATAAGCGAATATGTAGAAAGTTCAACATATTGAATTTATGTGCTTTATATATCATATACCACATCTTCTCATGCTTTCAAGACTGACATTTTATAGCTGTTAGCTGTTTTAGTTACACAAAACGAAGTTTTATCATTGCCACGAGCCAGCTCCGTTCCTGTAACGAAGGCTTCATTACACTAAACACACGGTAAGAGGTCTTGTAAGATATAGTGTATTTGTAGCCGATCTGTTGAAGCTAAAATTAATATTTCTTGTTTGATGTTTCAGATACTTTGCTCGTAAGACGTTTTACATTGAAGTTGTTTTAAGACTAGTTACACATTTAGTATGATGTAAGAGATTTAAGTGTATCCGGCGGGAAATTTGATGTTCATTACCAATTTCAGATATAAAACAAGCTGAGATAGGAAAGAAATAATATCGGATTTGAGTACAATCAATAAAATCTTCTGGGGCAATCAGCAGCTTTAACTGGTTACAGTAGTAAACCGACG